ACACCATAGATTAGCTGGATACTTTCAGGCTGTTCTTTTCGCATTGAATGAAGCCAATATTTTGGATCTGGCAACAGCATCTTAATTTTAATGTGTGTTTCGCATTTTTTTCGCCTTTTCTGCCCCCAAGACCAACAAACACATTTGATGTCGCTCAGATGTTGTCTCCACTCGAGCTCCAGACCTTCTCGGCCAGGATGAACTCTCTACCAGGGCCGACACCAAGAGGTGTCTATAAATAGACTCTTAGCGGTTAAGGGGTGTCCAAAAACCACCTGTTGGAATGTCCTGGTACCTTAATTAATTCCAAGAAACGAGGTGTTTGTTTACCTGGCTCCCAGTCCCTTTTCTTTTTGAGCTGATTCTTCCTTCCCCCACCTGTGGGTGCAGACCTCGCATTTCTTGGGTCGACACCTGGATTGTTTGGATGTCATTTGGGAGCTGTCTCACCCAATCCGCTTCGTTCTTGAGGAGGATTTGGTGCGAACGGGATGTGCGGCTGTTTGGCGGGGGGGCGAACAGGTCACCTTGGGCCTTGGGCCCTCCCGGGCCCTCCCGGGCCTCCCGAAGCTTGTACTGCCACATGCCCAGGTGGCCGGCACCATGCAGCGGCAGGACGATGGGCATGGAACTCATGGAGCTCTGCGCAGACATGTTGGTGGTTTGAATGAGCTCGGCACATCCAACATCTAGTTCGGCACATCGGAACATGGATGAACACTGGGTGGATCAAGTGTCGAAAGAATGCATTCAGGTGTTCCGTGATGCTCCGTCCTTTTTTTCTGGAACTACACTGACGCGGTGGCAGTTTTTGTCAGCCCTTTGCTGTCGTTCAGAACGCCTTTTCAACGTACATGGAGGTGTTCACCACATGGTGTTGTTCAAATCGCAAAGAATTGATCGCTGGGTTTTGCCCCATTCCCAAAGGGTGATCTCTTCTTGCAGCTGGCTAAGGTTTAACTACCAGAAAAACCAGGCGCGGAACACAGGATGCAGAGCATGACCATGGACCAAGGATGAGTGCTGACAATGTCAAGATAGCCTTTTCAAGGAGACTGAAGCATTTGGACGTAAATTCCCACGATGTTCGTTACATGCGAGAATTCCCCTCAATTCTTTGGCACTACCAATGTTTGGGAGCATCATTCTTGACCAGTCCAGTACTCCGTGTGGAGTGAGCTGACTACGACACGGTCGTCGCTCAGGTGGAGCTCAATCAACAGCGCTTGGATCGCATCACTGGAGTGGCTCAGGTGGAACGGTGAAGGGAACTTCCACGGACAGAAAGAAACAGCTTTCTTGAAAACCATTCATAGCAGAAGTTCCCCGTTTTTCAACGTTTTTCATGTTTATTTTTAATCGTTTTCCCAGCCAATTAGGAATTAGGTGCCAAAGCGGCCGCAGACAGAGTCGTCGCCTATCGCAAGAGCAAAAGATATAAAAGAGATCATTTTCCCCAAAAAATCACAAGCAAGCATATTCTTCCCCTGATTGACTGCTGGCTCTTCTGCTTTCAGCTGCACCAGTCGAAGGTTGAAACCAACCAGCCTCCGAGCCTCCGCGCCGCTCGGCTCGGCGAAGCACCGCTGCCGCTCCAGGCGATGAAAGGTCTTCGCTCGGCCGGCCTGGCTTCGATCAATCCGAGGCTGTAGATCGGGGGGGACGAGACCAGAGGGGAGCACAGCGAAGAGACGTGGAAAAAGCCACCCTGTTTGTTATGGGTGTGTATATAACGGAAACACATGGATAATAACTGGTCGTTTTCCCGATGTTTCCAGCTCTAGTGGCTATATGAGGCTATATGGTCCACTTCCATGTGTGCATGGGAATGTTTGTCAGATCGAGATGTGGTAGATCCATGTGGCCTTGGTTGGGATGGGCCTTCTTGTGGCTTCCCAGCAGCAAATAACGGGCTGAACCCATCGAGCTGTTGCCCCCCTAGATACAGTTGAAGACTCACCCTGCGTCAGCCAAGAATCAATCCAACTCTGCAGTTTCTGTCTTAGCCATGCATCTCCTGAGATTCTAGCCATCAAGTTGTGAGAAGCTCTGAACTCCTGGTGAAGACCGAGAATCCACCGGATTCACTTTCAAGAAACCATGAAGAGTCGTTTCCCTGACCATCTATTTCCACGTTCAAGATGATCTGCTGTATCTCCCAAGGTGAGTGTGGCTCCATCAGGTGCTTTCCCCACATCCCATCGACATCCCCCACCTTCATGGAGTTCTTTTTTTCCTCTCCGGGCCAGGATGGGCACCATCGGGAGCCTCCAGGGCCTCACGGGTCTGCGGGGCGTCGGAGGTGCGCCATGCGCACGGTTTCGGCTGGTGAGAGAGCATCGTGGTGCCCATATGTTTCTTGGGCATAGATGAGGCTTGGACCAAACATCGATGGTTGGGTGAACGGAGCCCCTCCCCACTGCTTGGTGAATGGAACGAGGTCACAACGGACCGTAATGATCGGACCTCTCCCCGGCCGACCGTTCCCCAAGAAGTCCTGCTTGGTCGCCACAGATTTGGTCCATCCACTCAGATGGCCTTTTATCCAAGATATGAATAGCAAAGTTGAGAGGAATAAAAAGGGGATGATGTGTGCGTTTGTGTACTTCAGACAGCATGCCCTCAAAATGCACAAAATCAAGAAAACCGTTTTTCCTCAAGACACATCGTTTATTTTTTAGAACTGTAATTTTTTAAGGTTCTGGGGTTATGGTATGGGAAGGGCTTTGGTCCATTCATGTACAAGGACCTTGGTCTCCGGATGTCGACTTGCACCTCTTGAAGGTTTCTGCTCCCTTCGGTCCGAGGTGTGAAATGAAGAAGCCTTCTGAATTCTTTGGTCGGTGTGACGACTTTGGAGGTTTGATGAGGTTTGACGTTCTTTTAGGAGCTTTCAACTGCATACAGGAGAGGGGAGAGGGGCTGTGGCCAGTGTGGGTGGCTTGGCCAGCGCACGCCCCCCCGGAGCTTGGGCTTTGGGCATGATGGCTTCCCACCAAAACGGGTGATTTGCTCGGGTGTTCTCAAATTTAATGCGGGCTTTTTTGGGTGAGCCACCGAGCCACCCGGAGTATTTTCTGAACTAGATCTTCGCAGCCTGAAAACATCGAAGAAAGATGTTGAAAGATAAACATTCATTTCCACCTTGTGCCACAATACATCAGTACTATACACTTCATCCGTTTTTTCCTTCATCCAACCCCCGCTCTTTTTTGCTGGCCAGGCAACGATCACTGGCGCACTTCAACGCCATGGGCTTTAGCTCCGCCCTCGGTTCATCCCATGGGCCGTTTGGGGATGTGTGGAGGTCTCACAGATCAATGGCTTTCCAAGTCAGAGAGGAAGACTGTGATTTTGCACCCTGGGTGGGAGAGAGCGACCAAGGCATTTCTATCATTCCCAAACCATCCCAAACTACTCCCGCGCTTGGGCGGAGGGAGTGACCAAGGCATTTCTGCCCCAACCCCCTTTTGCGAGCCATTTGTGCGGCTGCGAATCCAAGGGCGGAGATTGGGGCCCCGAAGCGGCTTCGCACAACTGAGCCGGGCTCGGGCCACCGGTGATGGGCCAGCACGCCGTGTGCAGTGCCAGGCACGGTCCGGCTGCCAAAGGCACCGGCCGATGCGAAAGAGGTCCTGGTGTCACCGGAAAAGGACAGGAAGGACAGGATTGACCGGACAGGGCATCTGCATCAGGGGTGGTTCTTGTACCCAGAAGAGTGACTATATAGAACATTCGTGGGGTCTACCAGTCTCCATGAAAAGAGGGCTTGGGAGGAGCATGGCAGGGCTCTTGATTTGCGAGTATGACACGAGAAACGTGATATTTAGTGTTGAAGAACCATTCAGTGTTGCTTGGTGGCCCATCAGCGCCGCGAAGTGCATCGAACAGATTTTGTAAGCACAGGGGTGCCCTCCGAGCATGCGATCATGAAGTATTTCAATTATATGCCCATATAATGCATGGCCCATCTGGATGCTCCCACCAGCAAAACGTCTAGAGAGGCTCCTCCACAGTCCCTCGCCTCCGGTTTTGGAGACCAGGGTCGCACGGTGGACACCGGGTGTCGTTGAAACCTGTGGCGAACATGTTTGATCCAAAAGATCATTTGTTGTCCGCTGGCACCTATACACCTTCCTGCGTAGACATCTTCATAATGTTTTCCAAGACACACCTAGAAATTACACCCTTCAGCTCTGCCCCCCGGGCGCTCCGTACTTTTCGTCGATCGCTCGTCTTCGCCCGCGGCCCTGGCTCTGGCCTTGGGGGAGCCCACCGACACGAACTTGCAACTTGATCTCACCAGACTTGGTTGGAGAGGGGAGCTCCGAAATGCGAGCAAAGCACATCGAAATGTGAGTTCAGCACCCCCAAAAACCGGAGGGGTGGTGGTGTTCTATATCACCCCAAAGGAGCGCATGGTCTGTGGTGTTCTTCGCAACTTGAGACTTCCAGAAAGGCACAAAGCATGCGAAGGGTTGTCGAATACATTTGGGGGGGCAATTCTGTCAACTATTGAGTTACTGCAACTCATCTAGTTTCATGATTTGCTGACTCAGAGCATCTGCAAGTTCTTTCTGTTTTGGGGCCTTGGCTCCCCAAGTCCTCCTGCTTGAGCCACACCCCCAACCTGCCAAGCTACCTGGCAGTGCAACGGCGTTGAGTGTTGCTTTTGGGCTTGCAGTAGTCAGCCACTTGCACTGCCGAACCACTGGCAAACCCACTTTGCAGTGGTCAAGGCTAAGGCTTGTCCTCTTTTACGCGTTTTCCAGGGTACTTGCACAGGTGCAGGCATGGTGGGATCCCCAACCGGACTCCAGAGTACTACCCATTTTGTCCCACGCCCTTTGCACAACCACTAAACCAGTGTTGTCATAGAACTGTAGTTATGAATGCACCAAAGCAGCTACTCTCCGAGTCTTTTGTCCTCATCACCACCGAAGATCCACATGCACGTCTCCTTCCCGCTTTCGGTCGCGCGAGCACGGGGGCGCTGTTAGGCGAGCGGCCGGTGGCGGTCGTTGGGGTGTCCCAGATCAAATCGGTCAGCCACCCGAGTGCGGCTGGGAGAGTGATTTGCCAGCTGAAAGGTGAGGAGGAGGTGTAGGAAACCTTGAGGACAGGCGTCCCAAAGGGAGAGTGACGGTGAAGTGCCTTTGTTTGTCACAAGCAAGGATCGAGTACAAGCCTGCATGGACACTGGGCCCTGCAAGACAGACTGCCCTCACTCTCCAAAACTACTGACGGACAGCTTCTCCTGCACCATGTGCGGGACGTGTATAGTTCGCTTACATTCTATTGCAGTACCTATTACATCCTATGATCCTGAAGAAGCATCTTCAGACTTTTTTTTCGGAGATTCCATCATTTGCTGGTCTTCGTTGTCCAGGTCTTCCGCTTGTGATCGAACACCTTGAGGATCCAACAATACTCTGACTTGGCCATGGTGTCCAGGCCAACTCCTTTCTTCAACGATGACCTCTTCGACGAGCTTGGCCATCGCCCCAGAATGAAGGGAGCAGAGTGGAGCCACCATACTTCATCTAGGAACTTGAGGGTCAGGCACGCAGATCTGCCGCTGCGACCGGTGCGGAGGTTCTCCTTCCCTGCTTTTCCGAGATGAGCGACTTGGAGATGAGCATTTGCGAGGGCAGGAGCCGCGTGTTGAGCTGCACTGCGGGTCTCACGTGCTGGTGGTGTGCGGCTTGTGCGGGGTGTGGGGTTGAAGTGGCGCTCCACTTGGGCATGATTGAGACTTGGCTGAGAGCTATGGAGTGCATCGGGCTTCATGCTTCATAATGCATTGGTTCTTTGATGTTCTTTGAAGGCAAAGGGCCTAGGTTTTTGGAACCTGTCCAGCCAAGCGTCATTTTCAGCACCTGAATGTTGCTTTTAAGCTTGCTGTGTGACCAAATGGTTTGCATTGATATTTTTCCATCCTTCCACTAGGAGCTTTGGGGTGTCCCTATTCTTAGAGAGGCACTGACGGCACTGATATATCGTAATTATATTATATATATATATAACTATAACCTTTTTGACCTGCCAAAGGACTTGGCCTTGTCTCCAGGGATGGCAACAAGCATCAACGCAGCAAGAGTAGTTGTAGGTTTGCAGGGGTGGATGTTCCTTAGCACTTCGACAGAGTATGAAGCTCCTATAATGAGATGTGCATTGCTCAAAGCAAGACACCAACGACACCAAAGAAGGTGATGCTTTTTTGGTCAGCAAGTGTGTTGCGCCAGCATGGACACCCAAGACACAAGTGTTTCACAAGAAGGATGTTCTTTCTAGTGTGCCACCTCGTTCCTTCAACTCTATATAATTCAATTTTCTTGTATATACACCAAACACGCCACATCGACGCCACGTGGGATCACTGCTTCTTCATGCGTCGGGTGGCCCACTTTCCAGGAGGGCCGAAAGGAGGAGGAGGCTTGCAAGGTCTCTCAGGAGGGTTAGGCCAGGCCTGTGACGAGGTTCGATCTGGGTTGGCGCTCCATCGATCCACACGGTGAGGACAGGGATGGACCGGGTGCATCTCAGATTCTTTTGGTGAACTATAAGTTAGTCAATGGAGTCAACCGTAGTGATTGATTGATATATATATATATATTATATGGATTGTCCCATATTTTTTCCCTTTTCCCCTTTTTGGGACGCAGGCTCGGTTGAGGCTCCAAACCTTTCAAACCATTGGACTGTGGACTTTTTTTGGAAGGCACCACATGGTGACTCATCAGTTCTCCACCGAAAGTCCTCCGTGCGACGTCCGATGCTCAAGGCATCCCTGCCTGTGACACTATAGTATATATGGTACCCTGATTCTTGTTTGCGGGCTTATACAAAGTGGGTATGTGTCAAAATCTGGGAAAAGCCACAACCATATCAAACATGAAGAGAGACCTTATCCAAGACCTCTCCAGACTCCCCTTTGCAGAACCCACTTCCCCGTAAGGGGTCGTTCTCACTGTCAGACTCATTGCCGTCATGGCGCCAGGCGCGGCAGGAGGGCATGGACCTGAGCCGCAATGACTTGATGTGATGAAGTTGAATGAAGTTAATTACTTCGGCCCAAGACCTGCAAATTCTCCATGCATCCCGAATTCTCCATGTTTAGTCCAGTCCAGCAACATGTTTCTTGGCCGGACGTGTATCACCATATGTGTTAGGAGAAGCATGGGAAACAGAACCAGGTGCATCAACATTCCCAAACATTTGTTGGACTTAACCATCATCGCGCACGATGGCGTCGAGTTCCCAACCCACACACACACACCACCTCAGAACCGCACATCGACTCTCACCCCCAGCAGCACCTCAGAACCGCCCATGACCATCTCATCACCTGATGGGAAACTCTGCTGCCCTAGGCCTAATCGAGTCTTCAGAGATGACACAGGCGCGACGCGCGCGACGCGTTTGCCGCCTGGGGCCGGAGATGAGTGCAGAAGAGATTGGATGAGTGTCGCCGGTTCTGTGAGGCCTGTGCACGTTGCGACAGCGGCTTTGTCTTGTAGATTTGCTTTCCCAGTTGAGGCCCATCTTCTGTGCTTTGTTGCTATCTTCAGTCCATGTTATGTGCTAGTTCACCTTTGCTTTGCTCAGTCCTGGCTGGTTTGTTTCAGAGATCATCCTGTATTATACCCGCAGTATAGAGGCATTGGTGCAGCATTCGTGGCTATTGTGTATGAGAGTGTGAATGTGCACTATTCTTGGCACAAGGACACCAAGGAATTGTCAAAATGCGTCAAAATACATCTTGGAATTGAAATACCTAGAAACTGATTGACCTCGAACCTATGAACACAGGACTTTTCCGATACTTGTCCTATGAACACCGGGGTCTACTGGATTCTAGATTCTAGATTCTAGGTGTTTTCTACTTATTTTCGAGTAACCGTTCTTTTTTTTGGAGCGTGTGACACTGGACCCCTGGGCCCAACCGACGGCAGGAGACGGAAGACCGAATGGCTGAGGTCGGAATGCCGGTCGGGAAGGTCGGCGGCATAGACTAGCTCGACTGAGCAGGCTGAAGATGTGGAAATCTCACCAGAAGGTGCCCTGAAACTCCCGAAACAGATTCATCGGTGATCCCTGAAGTATTTGCTGATTACCTCATCGGCAGGTGGATCAGCTTGTGACCTCCTTTGGATCTTTATTGAAGATTCGACATCCTGAAATCAAAGTTTTGTCAAATCCAAATTGACAGGGCATCTTGCTCCACCAGTGATCCCATCAGGCTTCTTCAATGACACGCTTCTTCGAAGAGCTCCATCAGCTCTTAGGGCGTCTAAGCCCTGGGTTCGGGCACCTGGAGGAAGTGGTGTGAGGGTCGGTTGAGGGTCGGCAGTAGGGGCGGATGGACGGACGAAGCCCACTTTTCAATGTTCAGCTATTAAGCAATTTGGGGTTGGGGTTCTTGTCGCGGATTTGGATGATTGTTTTGTCTATGTAGCAAGGCCCCTTTTGATGGATGTGAAACAACTCACTGACTCGTCTTCCCATCCTGGAATCCTACGAATCTTTGGATGTGATTGTTGATGAATCACGATTCCACATTGAAGAAACAGGACAGGGAAAAACCACCGGAGAAAGACACCTGGCATGGCCGTGTCAGGTTGGGATCTCAGCACGCCTCCCGATTTCCATCCGACGGCGGTCCGTGTAGCTGGTGCTCTCGACGACCGTGCCTTCTCTTGGTTTTGCTCAGGATGGACGTATTCCCCAAGCGTGAGGAAACCTTTAGGGAGTTACAGTATGTTTATGGTGTTTTTTTCCTCCCCTGTGAATCCCCAAACCTCAGGAAGATCAAGATCTATGAGATCATTTCTTCTCCCTAATCGGGAGTAGCTTAGAGGCCATCGCTGGTAGCTTGGAGGCCACCCATCCCACAGGCGCCGGCGTGCCGGCCTGGCGGAGCTGCGGCCCCTGGAGCGGCAGGGCCTGGAGGCCACTGGTTGGGGGAGGAGAGGACTCTGGTATTTCGGTGAAAGATCCAAGAAGGTATATAGTTCCTGCCCCCAAAAGATATAGTTTTTGACACAGAAGGACCAGCCATGCACAGAATTCCATTTCAGCGACATAGCTCATTTGTGGAGCCTAATCCACCATCACCACCATGGCAAAGCTGTGGCCTTTGCAGCACAATTTCTCACTTCGTTACTCGAAAATACAAAACTTTGTATCGATGTGTGAATCGACTCTTGTCTCCCAATGGATTCCGGTCCATCCCAGAGACCCGTCATGCTTGGAGTTCCCCTCCGAATGCCGTCCCTCCGTCGCTGGAGGCCTGGATCCTCGCGCGCCAGAGCGACCAGGCGAAGGCGGGAAATGGTTTTCCTCAGATCTGCGGTGTGGACCCGGAGATTGGATGGGAATTAGGGGGGCATTGGGGGGGATTTCGCAACAGGTTCACGGCAGTTGTCATGAGTTCACAGTTGTCGTGTCGGTTTTTAATGAGTTCATGACAGTTCAGAAAAAAATTAGAAGTGTTGCAATCAACTGGTTGGGAAGCACTTGCGGGTCGCATGCCATTGTTCCTTGCCAGAACTACGTACAAATGCTGATGCTGTTGGCCCCGCCTTGTCCGTCGACTCTCAAGAACATGACAAGTGTGACAAACCATACCAGATAGGGGCAGCATGTGTAGTTCATGTGGCATCGTGTGCAAAACATCGTTACAAACTGGAGCATGGAATCTGTGCTGTGCAGTGTCAGCTTGACCAAGATACACCTACCGGCATCGGCGGAAGGCGACGTCGAAACCTGTCCAAACCTTGAGGTCAGACATTCTAACTCTGAGACATTGATGACTGGATGGATTGGATGCATCGATGGAACCTCAAATCACCGCCAAAAGAATGCACCTCTGCATGGATGGCCCTCAGATGGACACCCGGTAGCTTGGACGATCTTCGGAAGATGCACTCTCCTTCCCAGACCATATATGGGACAGTTACCAATTTTCTAGACCGATCAGGCCAGAGGTGGTTGGGGTCAATCTATAGGCATACACTCCTTGAAATCATCATCAGACTCATGCTTAGTAGGGAATGAGGGAATGAACCACCCCTGTAGGCCCCTCTGGATCCATTCCCATATTCCCTACGAGACGCACCAGTCAGTTACGTGGAGTCAAAACCACCGGTCCCGCTGGTACTTGGAGAACTCAGAAGCGTCATCCTTTCGGGGGGCGTTCTCCACGTTCTCCACGTAAAGAAGGTTCTGATGGTTTCAGGGAGGGTAAGAGTCCACGTCCATTTCCGATGTGGTTTTTCACCCCTCCAAAGATGAGCGAAGTGGTGCTTGAGGGAGTGGCATGTCGGTCCCTCCGCATGTTTGGGCTGTCGTTCGCAAGCCGGTCCCTCCCCCACACCGATCCCCCACGCTGATGCCCCCGGTGGAGAGCACCGATGCCCACCGCGGCACCGGCGATGCCAGGAACGACGGCGGCTCCAAGGGCCCAAGATGCCAAGGCCACGCGAGAGCGGTTCTCAGTGAGGAAGATCACAGCTACATGCATTACAGAAACACCCCACTTAGAGCGATCGGCATTTGAGAAGACAGTTTCATCCCCCACCACATTGGGGGGGCTTCTCTTGTTTGTCGGGTTTCGTGGATTTCAAGGTCCATCCACTGATGGCCCATTACCAGCCGATGCGTTTTCCCCATGACTCTGATGGCTGCAGCGTTTGTTTTTTTTGGCTCCATTTGGACGTACACGCGCGTTTCTCGGAACGGTTTGCCCCGTGTAAACAGAGCTTTTGACTGGCTTTTGCTGGTGTCGACAGTGTTTTTTCCTTCACGTGACTATTTTGATGGTACTCGTGGGTTTTGAAAACATTTTTTGTAACGAATGCATTTTCCTGCGGTATTTATATGTATTTAATGTGGTTTTGTGACGCATGTTTCTGCCTACACAACATGTTAACTTGTTAACTTGCACACGCTACCTTAGAGATGGGGTGGGCTGGGGTGGGCTCGGGATAATGCCGTTCCTGTTAACTTGCACACACACACACACACTTGATGCTCGACGTGCACCAAGTGCACACACTTGATGCTCACCGGTCGCGCCATTTGCCGTTGAATGACAGATCATGTACAGTAACCTGCATGTTGGATTTTGGTCAAGACCCATCAAGGCAATTTCTGTGCTATTTAATACATAAGACACACATTGGTAGAAGGCTAGAACTAGAGCATAGTAAGGATGCCCCTCGAACATCTATGTGGAAGTGGAACAGACGGTCCCCCCTCAAGTCACCTTGTCTTTTCAGACAGGGCATATTCCACTTCTGCGCAAAGTTTCTAAGTCTAGGATGTATCTCTATTCTGCACTTGATGAGATGGCAGTGCGGCCCTTGTACCTTCCTTTGGGTCAACCCCTGACATTGGCCAATTACTGGCCACAGGTCTACACAGCCCTCCTCTGGAGCAAGGCGGGTTAGGGATTCGCTCTGCGAACGAAAGACCGACCACACCAGGACCCACAACAGGTCCAACCTCAACGCTTGAGGTTACTAGTACAACATACCAATATCGCAAATAGTAGTATTAGTATTGCCCCCCATGGTGAGTCCCATAGTACGTTGGCGTTTTGAGGTTAGAGCTTCCACCTTTGAAGGGGAGGACGGCCGAACGCGCCCCGTTCGGGAGGAACGCGGTTGCCGTGCCGCGAGGAGTTCGGAGCGTTCACTGCCGCGGCGCAGGAGTAGCGTGGTGACCTTCAGCCAGAGGACCTTGAAGGGCACCAGCCGTTGGTGCGCTGAGTTGCTGGATGCGTCGATGGTGGGTTCTTTTTTCGTGGTCCTGTGGTCGATTGCTTTTTGTTTGCCATTCGTTTGGTGTTTCAGAAGACGAATCATGCAAGGTCTTGCAACGCACGCTTGTCCTGTTCGATCTCCTTGTGGATCATTGTAAATCTGTGTATATGGCTGTTGTGTGTGTGTGTGTATTTTGTTCAATCAAGTCTTGTTTTACTTCTTTATAGCTTGGTAATCCTTGGCTACCTAGCAGCGCAGATTGGCGGAAGGTCTTCTCAGTTGATCATGTTTCTCATCCGGATTCTCGACTAGAGTCTGAACCGCCCGGAGCACAATCTTCTTCTATTCTTTTGCGACGGCAGGAGAATCACTTCGATTTAAGAGAAGTCTCAAAACTAAGATGGGCCCTTGTATAGAAGACCGTTGATTTGATATCAAACTTACCAAGCATCACAGACAGGACAGTTTCCATTTCTGCTCCATTTACTGAGCGCGGACAGTAGATCTCAATTTCGGGGGCGGTCACCCCATATTGGAATGCACCACCAATCCATGCATTCCAAAACAGGACTCGTTCACCTGATTCCGTTGCGTGAGCAAGTGATGCGTTATCATTGGTACTGCTGGCTGGCATCTGAGAGGCCAGCGTGAGTGAGTGCGCAGGCTGTTTGGAGAGGGCAACAGAGTTGGTATCTCGACCCTTCAGGTACTACGCGGTGGTGTGCCTGCCAGGGCTCCACATTTTGAGCCGCATGCGTCGACAGCGGCACAGTGCCGTGGAGGATAGCAAGGCGGGCACCAGAGAAACAGCATTGAGCAAGGCCAAGCGATGCAAACATGGTGGGGATGTGCTGCATCACAATGTTGTTGGGAAATGAACACGAGAGACAACTATAGTCAGTAATATGTCATGTAATATGTCATGTAATGTACTACATCTCATCTCTTCCTTATTCTCTTTTTGTCTCTCTCTCTCTCTCTCTGTTTTTTATTGTTTTTACTCGGAAATGACAGGCTTTCGGGATGAGGCAACGAGGAACGAATTGTTTTTTTGGGTTCCTTCCTTGGTCCAACAAACGGCGGGGAGCCACACGACATCCAGTCTCACTGCCAGCCACGAGATCTCGACGTCCGTCGTCACGCGGCGGATAGCGAGACCAAAGCGATTGATAGCGACGATTGGAGGGTCTTTGGTATTGAACCAGGTGAACAGGTCCCAAACCAAACCGCTGCGAGCGGGACGTGTGCACGTCGGAGGTCCTAGCTGATGCTAAGAGGCGGGTCACCCGGGGTGGAGGCGAAGCGGAAGATACAGGTTGCTCAAAGACAAGCAATATTCCTGTGCGGCAGTATCTTGATTTGATACATATTCTACATTATTCGACTATATAATATTCTACTATATTATTGATTTAGTATGATTTTGCACGGTACTCACTGTCTATAGACTTAATATGTGCACAGATCCCCCGAGTATGGCTACAAGTATCTACAAGTTGCTCCAGGCCAGGATGGTTCTAGCATGTTCTAGCGACTATTGGGAATATAAGATCATAAAAGCTAAAGATCATCATCATTGAACTTAAACTATAGAGATTCACAAGCTAACCATGTTTGGCATTTTTTCTTGTCCGTTCTGCGGATTGGCCGGAACCGATGGCCGGTTTTCTCGTTCGCTGGCCAGGCGGGTCAGCGAAGCCTCGAGAACGGGGCGCAGCTTTGACCAGGCCGCAGTGCGCTGTCACGGGGTCCAGAAGAGGTTTCACGATGTAAATGGGGAGTTTGTTCGGTTTGTTCATCAACATGCTGCATTCTCCACCGCAATTCTTACGGAGAACAACCCTGCCTTGGGTAGATGGCATATGGATCATGCGAGTTTTGTATCCATGAAGACCTCTCGCGGTCCAGTATTTCTATGGCACCGGCCGCCCATGTTGGGACGATTCTCCCTAGGTTTTGGGACTGTAGGTCCTATAGATCCTAGGAGTTTGTGGACCTATCCTCCTCTACAAACCACCTGAGTTCGTGGGTCCTCATCTGATTCGGTGCCTCGGGGCGTCCTTGGCACCGAACACCCGCCCGCCCCCTGCTGTGACTACTTCGGTCCCTCAGGGTGGGATGAGAGAGGTCCGATGAAAACCACCGACCTGGAGGGTGGGGCGAGGGTAGTCCAGATGATATTCCGATCTTCCGGCCCTGGAGGACCAAGATATTCCTTATAGTCCTTGGTCCTCCAGATCTTCCTTTTGGCCCTTAGTTCTTCGATATACACTCCCGAAAACTCACATGGTTACGGGGATGCCATGGCCCCGAGAGGAAGACCACGAAATCCACTACAAACAGGTGGTGCCATCCACTTCCATGTTAGTTCCAGAGAGAGTACTTAATGGAGCGAACGCCCAAGACACAACTCATGACACCCCACGGGCCACTGTCTATGAACTCTTCGTTTTGGCTGTGGCTCGATTCGCTTCAAAAAAAGGTCTATAGTGAGGGAAAAGCTGGATCGTTTGACTATATGGCCAGCTGCATTGCTGAAGAAATACGTGGTAAAACCTTGCTGGCCTTGCCCAACATCTTGGCTTTGTGCTTGTTGGTGGACGAAGCCGAAGAGACGGAGGCACCCACCATCCCCCGGGCGTGTCCGAGGCCGTCCGAGAAGCGCTGGGAGGTTCGGTGGTGGCGAGAAGCGCGGGGAGAAGCGTCGTTGGGGGTTGGGGGTCGACTCTGAGTCTGTTGGATTGCCCTGAATCATATCGTTCACCATGTCTGTTGGGCCTGGCTGGGCCTGTTCGAAGCTTCACGGGATCGACGGGAAAAGGTTCACGGACCGCAAGGGCCTCGGTGAGATCGACCGCTGTTGGGTCCGGAAATGTAGTAGGGAGTAGAATCGACCATAGGTTTGGGCTGTCCAAAGGAGACGAAAGCCAACTTCGACGGAACTAAGACCCATGCGAAATCATGTGCCAGAGCATTTGGCAAAGCATTTGGGTTCAAAAGCCAGAGACCTCAAGTGTCCAGTAGCCGATCTTTTGTGAAGTCTTTCACGTCATGCGTGCGATTTGGACTGTTCTGCTTTGTGGTGCAGTCGTGCTTGCTTTGCGCCCCGAGTGACTTGGCAAGTTGGTTTAGCTGCTTAGCCGATGTTTCTTTTCTTGAATATCTTTTCGACTGCGAAATCTGCGAATTGAGGCATGACCTCGATGATGATCACGCAGATGTCACAGGAGTCGAGGGTCTTCCTGTGCCGCGCTGCATGTTGGCAGATGCCATAGCATCCAAGACTCGCAAGAAGTTGAAGAGTGCCTCAACAAATGCCCGCAATCAGGCCGACTTGGCAATCAAGAAGTGCAAAGACAAGGAAGAACAAGCATGTCTTGAGCAGGCCGTTCATGGAAATTGCAAGTGGTGTGAAGGCTTGTGCGGCCCGAATGCAGTGTGATGCAATGCCACACCTTGACTATGGCCCAGGGAGGAGTTTCTGAAAAATCAGAGCTAGCTTCCGTCTACTTCCTCATCGGCATTTGAGGGCAAACTGCGAGTCGGAAAAGTATGAACGTGTGGGCATGCGGCATGCTGTAGTACGAGATTAGAGATCAGCATGATATTGTGGTCACCAATCATCTTCTTGTCACTACCTGCGCGCTCTTTTCTTCGTGCAAAGTTGCTTTCAGAGACAGTGGGCCAAAATCACACGTATACTAGAATTATCTTTGAAGAGGTTTTGTTTTGTTCAGTCTTACCATAGTGTTGCTCAATGGGGATCTCAAGCGGACGTGGGGAGGTTCATTTGCTCGAGGCATCTCAGATGCTTGCCAAACCAGACCAAGCCAGCTTAGACTTTTAGTTATATAGCAGTTTTTCTTCTGTGTGATGTATGATGCGATCCATCCGCAAAGCATTTGGGTTCAAAAGCCAGAGACCTCAAGTGTCCAGTAGCCGATCTTTTGTGAAGTCTTTCACGTCATGCGTGCGATTTGGACTGTTCTGCTTTGTGGTGCAGCCGTGCTTGCTTTGCGCCCCGAGTGACTTGGCAAGTTGGTTTAGCTGCTTAGCCGATGTGTCTTTTCTTGAATATCTTTTCGACTGCGAAATCTGCGAATTGAGGCATGACCTCGATGATGATCACGCAGATGTCACAGGAGTCGAGGGTCTTCCTGTGCCGCGCTGCATGTTGGCAGATGCCATAGCATCCAAGACTCGCAAGAAGTTGAAGAGTGCCTCAACAAATGCCCGCAATCAGGCCGACTTGGCAATCAAGAAGTGCAAAGACAAGGAAGAACAAGCATGTCTTGAGCAGGCCGTTCATGGAAATTGCAAGTGGTGTGAAGGCTTGTGCGGCCCGAATGCAGTGTGATGCAATGCCACACCTTGACTATGTTTCGGAATAGAGCTAGCTTCAGTCTACTTCCTCATCGGCATCTGAGGGCAAATTCTGTTCCTGCGCGAGTGAGAAAAAAACAGATCAACTTTTTGCTGAGATTGAATGCGTCGGCATGTCGTAATACTAGACTTCAACACGATATTGAAACTAGATGAAACTAGTCTGTTGTTTGTGCCCTGGATGTCACACTAGTTTGTGCCAGGAGCTTTTTGGGACGGCTCCCAGGCAGGTGTTCATCGGTGTTTTTCCGTTGGACCTCGGATGGTTGCCAGGTCGAGCCGAGGACAAGTCTCTCAGCCAGACATTTCACCATATGCCAGCAACAACATGTCAGATGTGAAATTACACTTTGTTTGGGTGTTTCGACTCTAAAGACAACTTTGGGTACAAACATGAGCACATACAGATTATACATATACTGTAACACTGTATAATTACACACAGAGTTGGGTCAAGCAAGTGGGTTGCATCGTTTGATCCCCCATCGAAAGGATGCACGGAAGGTGCATCCTAGGGAATCCCGCAGAAAGAGGATTCCCAGAAGGCAGAATCATGCAGAAGATATGGGGATGGGTTGGGTCTGTCCTAGGAAACCTGGAGCAGTCAGTAGACAGTTATCACTATTTTTGAACAAGGCCTGCAGCCCATCCATCGTCATCCACTGTTACTGTTAATAGGATAGACCCAAGGGATGGGCTCCGGTCCTAGGTAGGTCAACCAGGTCCTGGTTTTGACCCACCGCCAACTGTGAGACCGGCTTTGTGAGCTTTGGGATACGAGACTTGGGAGTTGATGGCGCTCACAAGTAGTAGTGGGGCTAGGGGAGCTTGCGATCCCCCCCACTGAAATCAGGATGTCATGGAATAGAATCCTGTAAAAAGGGTTTTCCAAAGACTTATCCTTGTGTGGCATTGGGTGTTCCACGTTTGAGTTGGGAGGTGTTCCCAAAGAGACACGCCGACGTTGACTACTTCTCTGAACAACAATGGCAAACGGCAAACCAGGCGTTCGCAGCGACCAATTGATGGCGGAACTCCTGCATGTTCCAAGTCAACCCCCCACGTCACACTTCAAATCCTGAGGTCGTCCTCTTTGTTCCCGGTCACACTTCAAATATTCTTCCGTTTGCGAGCGGAGCAATCATTGCAGGTCCCCGTGAAAAGCGCGACAAGCCCAGGTGACCGGTGGCCGTGTTTCGCCGTGTTTCCCGTCGGAATGCGGTGCGTTCGTTGGGGTGCATTCTTTGAGATATCCAACAGCCGCATGGTTTAGTAGAAAAAACCCTGGCCCTGCTTTGTAAAGGAACGTCGTTTTTGGAAGGGAACACACCATTCACTTCCAGAAAAACATAGTTTAATTGGACGGGGTATATCCCAACGTTGTCGCCTTACCACGTTCATTTGCATGAAAGAGAGTTACAACAGGCAAGACACAGATCCACAATGCACACAAGGTTTCTTTGTTGGTTTTACGTGCATCGAACAAGCAGTGTTTCTGACACTGCCCACAAAATGGCAAAGAGTGGCTTCTGATACAGAACACCGTGGTAGTTTTACTGAGGCTTTTAAATGAAATGCGTTTATAGTTGTTGTACTGATAGATCAATTGCAGTATGTCTCAGTGTGCTCACGTTATGCAGGGAACTCGTCAACGCAAAGCCCTGCCTCAGATATAGCCTCCAACAACTTATGACGCCATGGTGGCTTGGTGGAAACCAGCAGCTCTCTTCCCCTGCAGCAATTCCTGTTACACCAGTAGGCCCATCCGGCAACAGACTGCCACTGGTAGACTACCACTGGTGGACCACCACTGGTACACCATCACTGGTAAACTACCACTCATAGACCACCACTGGTAGACTACCACTGTGGACCATGACCGGTACTGTAGACTACCACTGGTGGACTATCACTGGTGGTAGACTACCACTGGTGGTAGACTACCACTGGTAAACTATTACTGATATATATATATATATCACTGGTAAACCACCACTGGTAGACCACCACTGGTAGACTGCCACTGGTAAACTACCACTGGTAGACTACCACTGAGACTACCATTAGAGGCAACCATGCCCCTTTGAGTTGTCGTTCGACTCAATTCAGGCATGTGAATTGTATGACTGTACCACATTGTACCACTGGACCCCCCCAAACTGAACTCTCGCAAATCCCCGCCAGGCTATTTTATGGTTGTATCATGTTGTACCCCACCCTTCTCAACCTCAGGAAGACAGAACCAAGAGTTTGGCCGGGGTTGGGGTTCAACCACTCAACCACAAATGGCACCACGTAAAACATAGTACTGTAATTAAAACTACATCGATGTCCGAATTATCTTGATTGGGGATTCCATTTGAATTCCTTCATTTGTTAAAAAGACCTGGTTGGTATCGATCAACCAGTGATCACTCTATCATGAGATGCGGGATTTGCCTGCACTGGAGGCACTCGGCGCCGGCCCAGGGCTGGCAGCACGGCATTTGAGCTGGGGCACTCGGTCACTCGGCCCCCTTTTGGCTTGAACGATTGTGAGGCTATACCACAATCAATCAATATTTTCGCCAATACCGCAATGCATGTCGTGTTTTTCCATGGCTCTCAGAGGTAAGATCGTGCGAGCCGGGTGTCTTTCGATGGGTACTTGCTTGCGTTCGTTGCCTTCTTGCGTTCTGCAGCTTTCCACACCACTCTTGGTCATCACCGGCTCTAGCTGCGTGGGCGCCCGTAGGGGGCGGTAGCGCTTCGACGCTTGGTCTGTCGCACTTGTCTGACTCGTCCAACGGAGTCGGGTTGTCGGTCTATAAGTACTGGGACGCCTCTTCCATCCGAAGATGGGGCGGTCCCACGGCCAAAACGGATCGCTAGCATGGTCAATGAGCAGACTGCTGGCCGTACTTTTGATGGTTTCAATGCGATTCAGATCTACATGCCTGGCACAAGAGACACAGAAAGGCCCGGCCATCGTTTAGACCTAATGCCCGAGGCCACAGGCCCTCCACCTGCGCTTCTATGCTGCGGTGGACTTGGGCGGAGGCGACCGGAGGGGAGGCGATTTCAAGACGTTTCTGTCAGAGGACGGACCACCAAGAACGAAAGAGGATTGGTTTGGTCATGTTTGGTCATTCAAAGTGCTTGGGGACCGGGGACAGTGAGTCTCTAAACCATGTTCCTATGATCTATGCGGTTCTACGTGCTTGCTTGGTTTGGTCCAGAAGGGCGCATAAATCTGCCGGGCACGTCTTCATGGTTCGCTGGTCCTGGGCAGTTGTTGAAAAGCTGGATGACTAAGACTCACCAAAAAGGGAAGGCATCGGGTTCCATTTTGTATTCGATGCATCGATGCATGCTGCATGAAACAGTAACATCGATGCATTTCCAATTGTTGCATTTTAACATTGAAATCGAAGCATTTGTCTAGACTTTTGGGAGTGTCACCCCCAAAAGATGGCTGGAAAGACTGGAGGATAAGGATTTGATGAGACAAACTACCAGAATCAACGTCTGTCATGCCTAGACCTTCACACTGATCGCTCCAGGATTCCGTCTGGTCTCACTTTAGGATTGACCGAGGTTGGAGGCCGCCGTCATCGCTGTCTGATCCCAACGCGAGTTCCGTCCCGCCATAGGCTTTGCCACGATGCTGCGCCGGGGGTCACCGAGAGTAGTGGTCATCCCGACGGGGGTCGGACTGGGGGTCCCTATCGTTTCAAGGTGTTTGGGTTGGGGTCCGCAGGATTGGATTGGTTGAAGGATTGTGTAAGATCCATGAAGAGGATGACCATCAGGGATTGTAAGGATTGTGTAAGATGCTTAATCTTGAGAGGGAATCACCATGAATGATCTCAAGATTTGATGTTAATTTTTGATGGGAATGGTACCCCCAAGAGTGGGAGATGGGATCCTTCTATTGGCTTCCCGGTTTCCCGTTTCCACCATCTTCGACGTGAGGGAGAACGACAAGTGAGGCACCAGCAGTAGCTGATGAAGATGTTGCGGTGCAGTGGTGATGGATGGTGAGGGAGAGCTTGCTGTTGTGTTTGGGGTTGCAGATGATTGCAGCCAAGGCTCAGGACAAATACTGCCATACTGCAGATCCAACAGTGAATGGACATTCCAGATCCACAAGCCCTCCATGTCATCGTGGAAAAACACATGGAAGACAACATCCAAGACGTGCCACACTCTCCCCACGAAACCTTGCACGTTTTGACTTCCCCCTTTGCCCACCCGCCGACCGTTCCGGCCGTTCCGACCGAGGTGCGCCGTGCTGCTACGACTTGGACGAGGCGCTCCGTGCGAGGCGCCGAGTCGACGAAGGTCCATTTTGCGGCGGTTTTGGTCCGTTGGAAGCCGTTGGCTCCATGGGCAGAAAGAGGGTGAGCAGAGCCACTTTTTTCTGAGCAGAGGCATTTTTGGTGGGGTCAGTTGAAGGATGTTGACGGATGAAATTTGTATTAGTTGGACACCCACCTAAGAATGGAGCCAGGCTCTTTGGGATAACTGCTGGAAACCGTGGTACACTGGTCACGACTGCTGGATGCGCAAACCTCGATGTGCACAAGTTGAATTGATTTTGTTCGAAAGCGGCTTTGTATTTCCCTTTGTGTATGCAGCGCGCCATGGTGCCCCATCAGGTTCCATCAGGTACATAAAGACCCCAAAGTGATTCGAAGCTGCCACGTCACTTCTGCTGAAACACAACGGAGAAATACGAAGAACCTGACCCAATTGATTTAATTGGATGATTGCCCCATTTTGCCCTTCTGGGTGGCTTCGGGCCCGTTTTGGTGCTAGAAACCACAAACTCCGCGAAATGAAACCACCATGGTCTCTGTTTGATTGTAAGGAACATTGGGAGGCTGATGTGGAACCTCTCAGATAACAAATGCACTTTCACCCCAAGCAGCACTGGTTGGAGTTCATATCCCAAGAACAAGATTTCGCGATTGATCAACAACACTCGCTTTTCCGCATCTTGCACGAGGCGTCGACTGTTGGCTGCCGTGCACCTGGAGGTGTCCCCTTCCAGAAGAAATGTTTCACACAGGGGGTGACAGATGATGAAAGATGGTGAATGTTCCAATCTGTTCTATGCTGGTCATTTGAATTTGACTGAAATGCTCGTCATTTCTGGTCGACATGTCATTTGCTGAGTGCATGGGAGTGCCCAAATGACATGAGTGCCTCAGGGTGCCCATTTCTGGGTGCCTTATGGGTCCTTCTCAAAGGTCGAGGTGCTAGTTACAACTTGCTTTGCACAGGGCATCTATTGAAAGACTGCATGTGATTGGACATTTATTGCCATAGTAGCCATAGAGTATCTCAACATGTGTTGTGAATATTCAGAGAAGGGGTAGGCAGAGAATAATGATTGAGCCGTGTCTTGTGCCCTTTTCCAGGTCCAATGAGATAGAATCATTACCCAGAGGGCACGTCCCACTATGACATCTGAAAGCATGTGACGAAAGCCTCAGTCCTTTTCGGCGTCCATGTGATATTTTAGACATGTGGGTGATTTATTTGCAACAAGAGCAAGGCCCGTTTCTCACCTGGGTGTTTTTTGGGCACTTTTTAAAACCATGTATTATATAGCATTTCATGCGTATAGCACAGCTATCAAGTAGCCCACACGTCAAGCCCATGGTCCACGTTCACGGGGTGACTCTATTCTTGATAACCACGTTTCTGAAAACCACCTGTCCCTGTCACCAATATATTATATTCCACAAATCATGGCCTAGAAAGTAACACCTAATTCCCAGTAAATGGACACACCTTCACAGAATCCGTGGATTTTCTTGAAGCTCCCTTTGTTCAGCAGTTTACTTATATAACACATCTTAAGACAGCCCTCTGAATCATGTAGACCCTCCATGGAACAAAGGAAGCTTTGTTTTTTTTGTATGCCAAAAAGAGACACCCACATATACCCTAAGATTTCCATGGTCCACAGAGGTTTCCACAGTTTTTTTTTGCATGCCGGGTGTTCGACGATATTTCCCTCTTCAGGAACCTGACCAGCGGCTTAGCACCGTGCCCTTCAGCCGTTGCACGGTGCTCCCGGGTCGCTTCCGTTCGACGTCGCCTCCGTTCCGCTGCGTCGTGTCGTAGAAGCGAAAGGAAAAAACGGCCAAGCAGGACTAGCAGGGCCTCCGGTGTGTCTCCATCCAACTTGAGCCTTCAAGGTGGGGTGTCAATGAACCTAACCTCACTTGTTGTGTGGGTCCTGGTTTTTGACAAAAGCAGACGGGCCGGACAGCTCAGTCGATGCACATCGCACCGGTGGGACAGCTCAGACTCAAGGGGTTGTGGGAGAGGAGTACCCTCCTTCCAAAGGGCCCAGAAGGGATGAAGCTTGTTTTTGGGTAGATCCTATTTCTCAGCCGTTTGGCTTTGAGGACATTTGTCCTGGGCAGTTTTCTTGGTTTGCCCGCCATGAAGCTGCGGCAAACTGCACAGATGCAGCAACAAGCCAGCATGATGCAGCAGCTGCGTACCTTCTGGATGGAAGAATCTCAGCAGCCAGTTTCAGAAGTGACGATCAAGCGAAACAGTGAAGGCAAGGTCCTGGGTTTGTAGGTTCACAGCAGAATTACTTCCTGCAGTGCTTTGGAACAACGGTTGAAGGTAATCAAAACTGTGTCTCTCTCTCTCTCTCTCTCTCTTTGGTGTGTTTGAACATGCGTACACGGCCTATGTCTCGGGGTTCTGTGAAACATTTTTCCACTGAAACTCACTGAAGGGTGTGTTTCTCTCCAACCTACGGTTGTAGAGCAGGGACGTTTCGGTTTACTGTAATTGTCAGCTTCGTCCAGCTCAGTCTCTTGCCTGTTTCGGCTGCAATTTCTGCTCAGGGCAAACCTCCTTGTAGGGAGTGAGACAGAAATAGAGAGAGAAGACATGTTTAGATGGGCACTTTCAGCAGGTTTGTGTGTCAGTTTGCGTGTCAACAGAGCAGTGCTGGGGGCGGGGGGCCACCCGACTGAGCTATGCCGAAGAGAAAGGCGGTGTCACCTTCACCGTCCCTGGATCCTGCAGATCCATGCGCGGTTGGCCTCTGGCTGACTGAGGATGAGGTAAATATGATCCGGGAGATGATGAAGATGAGAAACACTTGTAGGTGGGAGTGGCGTGTGGAGGAGGTTTGCGAAGCACAAAGCTCCGCCAGGAGCAAAATGAGGGTGAAGCAGAAGGAGGCTGAGGCCAAGGAGGCCAAAGCGAAGGAGAGGCAGGCGGCAGCTACGAAGGCAGCAGCCAAAGCCGCTGCCAAAAGCAAGGCGACGCCGAAGGCGGCTCCCAAAACCCGCCCGGCCGCCAAGGCAAAACCAAAGGCAGCTCCAAAGGTATCTCCCAAGTCGACCGCAGTGCATAACAGAACACCTGCCCAGGCAGCTCAGGAAATGGTGCCAGCAGCACAACCACAACCACAAGCTCAGACGATTGACGTGGACGACCAGGAATCAGACACTGACACTGACAACAGAACTGAGGAGACCGGGGGGGAGGGGGTCATGTGGCGAGCCTAAATTAGTCCCAAATCAACAGAGTGACTGGTAATGACTGGTATACCTTGGCTGAAACAACCTGGTTGTCCAGCTGTGGTTTTTTGGTCTTCCACGAGGGTCCGGATTGACCTGTTCAGGTGCCGCGCCAGATGGGGATTGCCTCACCCTGGTCTCCGTGCGACCAACAAGAACGCGATTTTCTGGCCAGCTTGACAGTACAGGTCTCCGAGGATCGTGTGGGGCCCCTCAGTCCGAGGGTGCACAACACTTCCGCGCAGCATGTCGTCTGACTGTAGATTTGGCAGGCCTATTTTTGGGGGGGTTGTTGGCGGCATGTTCGAAGACCAAAGACCATCCCAACAAGATTTGTTTTGCAGGTGCCTGTGACGTTTGAAGTTGAAGGATCGCCTTTCATATCATTCGTGCAATGTTTGTGGCCAATGTCTTCCCCAGTACAATGTTCAGGGAGCAGACTACACCTTGCCAGTTGTTAGAGAACGGAGACCTATGATCTATTATTCTAAGCCGAGCGAAGATCACCGGATTTCTTAAGCACTCTTTGTGAAGGCCAAGAGCACCAGCTTTGGTGGGTCTCCTGGGGGATCCTTGACTGTCCACCTGGCGATTCATCGCTTGACCTCGCCTGTGGATTTGAAGGTTTGTAATTAGTAACTATATAAATTAGTTACCAACAATTTCACTGTGGGTCAAAACGTCAAAACCGCTTTTCCCTCCATGTCACCAATGGATAGGTTGACAATAATGACCAAGAGGATTCTCATGAATGAGGGCTGTCTGTCAACTAGGGCTGTCTGGGTACTGTGACACACAACCAGGGAAGTTGGCCTCTAAGTCTTTGGGTGAACTCGCTTTTTGACGAAATCAAGGTGGCAAGGTGGTTCTGCTTACCCTGAAACTGTTCTTGTGTGAAGGGTGTCAGCCAAAAGATTCACTTCGGCTCGATTTGGAGTCGAGTTTCGACGTGTCTTTTGCCGCTCAGTTGAGAAGATTAATTCATATCTTCAGCGACGTTGCAGCTTGGCCGTGGGAAGGGTTGCAGGTTAACCAAGGTTTGCAAGCAATTGTAGGTGGCCATTTGCCATCACATTTTCCGACAATCGAAGAGAACCTTCAAAGAATTGGGGTCTGCCTAGGGGCCGTCCGCGCAGTCTTCTCGCTGGGACATATAGATTTGACAATATGATTTGATTGTTGGAGGAATGAGCCACGGTTTTGGGTTGGACTCGTTGTGCCGCAGGCTAATCATGGAGGTAGCTTAAACCGTGGGTGGAGGGAATTCCTGCTCTTCTAAGACTGTCCTTTGGGGAGATCCAAACGGAGCCCGCCTTGATTTGTATTGCAGGTCTCATCAACACTGAGTACCTATAGCCAAGCATATATGCTGCTCTTTTTTCTTCAAACAAGACCTGTGGCATGCTACGATGTCCGAAACCATTCCGCTCGAAGTCAATGTCGTCCCTCAGTGGTACCAGCCACAAGAGGCATAACAGGACCATCTCCAATCCCCTCCGGTCCACAACCGCCAAGCTGTGCAATGTCTTGAGGCGGAAGATGTCCATACCAATGAGCCCACTGTGAACATCGACAACATGAGCCGGAGACGGCGCGCAGACTTCAAATACATCTTGCAACACATGGTGGAAGAGACACGCACTAAAAGGGCACGTGCCGAAAGGGAACGCGAAGAAACTGAGGCAGCAGCAGGCCGTGAACAAGTGGGTGCTCGTCGCAGGTGTTTTGTTTTTGTTGCTGTTGCTTGTTCTTGTGCGAGTGTTCAAGGTGGGTGTGGGAAGTGAGGCCTGACATGGGCACGCTGCATTTCTGATCTAGTTGAAGGTTTTGCACACAATGTGGTGAAGTGTTCACACACCTGTCAGGAACAGCCGCTGATGAACAAGTGGAAGCAGCTCCGCCAAATCAGGAAGTTGCAAGCACTGCAAGCACTACTGCAGAGCCCGCACGGGAGCCTTTGCCACATCCGCCAGAGGACGAGCTTTATCAGAATGAAGAAGAACTGAAGAATTTCCTCGATGAATGCGAGGAATGGATCCGAGACTGGTGAAGTTTCAAGTCTTGGCTCCAAATAGGGAGGCCCCATATCCATACTGTTGCAGAAAGGTCGGCTCAACAAACCAAGGATTCACATCAAGGGCTTGGATGGACAAGTCAACTTTCTTTTTTGGATCAATGAAGAGACTCCATTCAAAATGGGCTGCTGATCAGCATGTCCGGGCGTTTCACCAAAAGGGAGCTACAGTGCTGACGCTCCTCCTGTGGCATGGAAAGCGGAATTGTGGCTAGCAGAGATTGACTGGGCAGATAAAGATCTTCTGCCTTTTTGCCTGTATGGCTTGATCTGTGAAATGACTACAGTGACTACAGCTCAAAAGACATCCTCGTTTCGTTCCGGAAACTCTATTTCTTATCTTGTGTAATATATGGTAATAATTACAGTAACTAATTAAATGCAGTTGTTTGCTTTGGGTGGAAGGGCAGTACGCCACAACAAAGAACAGCAGATCCCCCGGCGTGGGTCCAGGTGGTGCAGGATTTGTTCCACCAAGAGTAGATATTTTGACCCAGGATCCTTTCGATGACCTGCCTTTTCAGATCAAGGCGCTGCTCCCACAGACCCTGCGAAAACGCAAGCCTCAAACTCTCAAGTTGCAGCCTGGCAATTGGAATGGTCTTCGGAGATCCTCATAACTCAAACAACTGCCCGGTCAAAAATGCTCGCAAGCCCATCAGAGCGTGCCCTGTTTCAACCAGATTCCGCCCTTCTCGGCTCTGCCCGGCTCCTCACAGCACTCGTTGAGGACTACTTGTGCGACGTGATGTTCAAGAGCCGCGATGGGCAGCAGCACAAGGGCCATCGGATCATCATCTCTTCAGCCTCTGAGGCGCTGCGAGCCCTGCTGGGCAGCACCTTCGCGGAGTCCGAGTTGATCAAGAAGGGGGAGCCGGTGCACTGGTCAGCACCCGCAGAGCTGGGAGATGGAGATTCACCCACAGCCGGGTGAGCACCCCTTCGGTGGATGATGTTCGGCAGGTTGATTCAGACGAACCAAGGCATAGGTGATTCTCTGAGGCGCCTTTGATTTTCAGACGAACCCATATTTTTTCTCCAAAATCGTCCGGGCCTTCAACTAGCCTTAGTGCTGGCAGCAAAAACATGAAATCATGAAGCGGGTGTTCTGGAGGCCATTTGCAAAACAACTTGACATCATCTACAAAAGAACTTCAAAGAGCCATCAATCCCAAAGTGTTCCAAAGGGATTCACGCGTTTTTTTGCTGTACGGCTTGTGCCGCACGTACCTCCAAGGAGTTACAAACACTAGTCTGTGTGTTTGTCAGTGGGATCGCGACCTGACGTTCAGCGCCGCGAAGCGGCGAGGTGAAGATCGCGGCCTCCGCGAGTGTGGTCGAGGCCCTGCTGGACTACGTCTATGGAGGAGAGCCAGAGGTGACGAAGCGAACGACCATGAACGACATGGGGATTTACCACTCCGACTAGGATGAATCCCCAC